ATTATTGTTCCAAATATTGTTAAAAAATGACGAAATATAAAGGTGAGGCGAGGACGCGATGCCGCCGAAGCCGAAGCAATGTACACCCTATTGTAATAAAAGGAAGACAATGGGGAACATATTATAGCTTCGGCTTCGTCTTACCTCACTCTGTTGCTACCCTTCCGGATGCCTGTGATACCTGGCACGACGACGATTATGTTTAAATACTCTATGAGTAACCCTGCAACTGCTCTCTAAAAACAAATTTTCTTCCCGTTTTAAACTTAGCACAATTTTATGGAAAATTCACACATATTCCTGTGTGCGGTCACTACGCCAGCCACAAGACGCCTGTCCAGCAAGCTTCAAACAAAACCACTTTTACATTTAAAATTGTCATTATTTTCCTCGTAGACATCCGGATTCTGCTATAAAGAAAAAATCCCAATACTAACTTGGCATTTTTCCATTTGAAAGAAAAAATCCAAAGAATTTATTACACAAATTTTGACCAGCACTTGACATAAATCTTGGGCAACAATAGAAAAAACTGACATGAAAAAAACTCTATCCGGATCGAATAATCACACCAAATAATTAATTGACAATTGACAAATTTATTTCAAAAAAGGAATGTTGAATCTTTGTTTCCTGTGGGGTATTCCATACCCCCAGAGAATACCCCCAGATTCAAAATATTTAGTGTTTTTAGCATAATTTTTAGAAAGAGACCATCTAACGTGAGTTCTTAGGGATGAACGTTTTGTGTGGGAACGTAACACCGGGGGTGTGGAGGGTATGGAATATCACCCCAGTACCTACACGAAAATCATATCATACTTAGTAAGAAAAGGAATGTTGACTCTTTGTTTCCTGGGGGGGTATTCCCCCGATTTTGCATTTTAGCACTTACACTACCTGTACTTTTTTTAAAAAGGAACAATCTAAAGTAAGTGCGTAGGGGGTGAATAGTAGGAAAAGGAATGTTGAATGTTTGTTTCCTGGGGGAGAAAAGAACCTGATGTTACTTGTGGGTATACTTTCTGGGTACTGCAAACTAAACACATGCACCTCAGAGGTTTGGTAGAATCACCATATTCTGGAGGACAGGCAAGAGACGGCACACCACATACTTTGTGAATGTACCGCACTAGTCCAACTGAGACTGAGGCTACGATTAGACTCGCCACTCCTTCTAGTACCATTCGGTTCATTTATTTATATTTATCTATTTATTTATTGCCCTACACTACAGGCTTATCGCTCAATTACAGGACAGGACAGGGATTAGACTCGCCACTCCTTCTAGTACCATTCGGTTCATTTATTTATATTTATTTATTTATTTATTGCCCTACACTACAGGCTTATCGCTCAATTACAGGACATAGTAAAGTAAAGTAGTGTACAACAGTGTAATCTATACTTAAACAAAAAAAGAAAAAAGTTCCAAACTAATAAAATAGATCCTAACATACATAAAAGAAAATAACAAAACAGAAGGATCACGTGTGGGATGGCTTAAGTGACGTTGAGGGATCGGACGAATCTAATCAGGGAGGTAGTGAGGCACACGTGGACCCTATTCGTTCTCCTATCGTCAATCCACATCCTGGGGGATATTCCAAAACTTCCAGATCCCTTGGTTTTACATTCTTCTCAAAATATTTACTGCTTTTACTTAGCATTTACACCATAATTTTTAGAAAGAGACCATCTAACGTGACTTCTTAGTTTTGTGGGAGAAAGTAGCACCGACGGGTCTGGAGTGTATGCATATCACCCCAGTACATGACAATCTTATGTTGAATTTTTGTCTCCTGGTAGGCATTCTATACCCCCCCAGACCCCCGGTTCTACTTTCTCTATTTATAATCTTTAAAATGAGCCCATCTAACATGACGTCTTAGGGGTGAACGTTTTGTGGCGAGTACACCAACCATACCACCCCAGTACACGAAAATATTATGATAGTATAAGATATGTAATTTTGAGTTTTTGCTGCCTGGGGCCTGGGGGAGGGGGAGGTTACATTCTCCCTCAAAATATTGCTATGTGCATTGGTCCCGGGTAAAAAGAACCAACGTACCAAACAAAATAGCTGCAATTCCCCACGCTGGGCGAGAAAATAAAGATGTTGTGGCCCTTGAACTTTAGGTCAGTTACAACACTTCACAAACCTAGATAGCTCTCTAATGAACATTTTTTTCGGTGCACATTTACACAGGAGAATGATTTAACACTGACCTTAAGTTCCAGGCAGACAGTGGCCAAGATCAAAATCTTTAAATTCCTAACGGTTGCCTGTTAGCAAATTTTAACAAACGCTTAAAATGAATTTTGGGCGTGCATTAATAAAATTAATCGTAATTGAGCATAGGACTTCTCTCTTCGTCGTTAAAGGGCCCGACTGAACACGGAATAAACCTCGAACTGCATAAACGACTTTCTTGTAAGACGACCGCATAGCTCGGCCACGAACTGAGACAAACAAACTTCTTTTTCATAAAGCAGGAACACTTCGATTCGTAAACTGGCAAAAAGGACTTTTTCGAAAAACCGCAGACTTGACCTCGAAAATTTTACAAAAAAATTAACTTCTAACGACAGCAATTCGGCCTCGAACTTTAGCATGGGGCGTCTTCAACGGACCGAAATTCCAAACGTCAACGTCCCAAACTGACAGTGTTTACACAACAATATTTAATGCTTTTAGCATTTACACCATACTTTTTTGAAACGGACCGTCTGTTTCCTTGTCTTCCTAGTCATATCACCTCAGTACACGAAAATCTTATGATAGTAAAGGAATGGTGAATCTTTGTTTCCTATGGTGTATTCCTTACTCCTCAGACCCCTGGTTCACTTACACTAATTTTTAGAAATAGTTCTTAGGGGTGGACATTTTGTGGGAGAACGTAACACCGACGGGTCAGGGCCGAATGGAATATCCCCCAGCCATATCACCCCAGTACACGAAAATCTTATGGTGAAGCTTTGGTTCCTGAAGGATATTCCATAACCCCCAGACCCCCCGGTGCGTTTAGCACTAATACTAATTTTAGAAAGAGTCCATCTAAAGTGAGTTCTTATGGCCATATCACCCGAGTAGACGAAATTCTTATGACAGTAACAAACGAAATGTTGAATCTTGGCCGATCTAAATTGAGTAAATTACAAAGGCCATAGAAGAATATAATACGCAATTATAAACAATTCCAAAAGGAAAAACAGACACTGCGACAACAAATTCAAATATAATAAACCAACTTTGTGCTACCAGACGCTTAGTAAATTAAAATATTCTCATATTCAGGGTGGCCCGTAATTTTTGTTGTTGTTTAGCTCGACACGTTTACACAGCAATGTATAGCAATAGTTATTTTTTCTGGATAACACCCAATGGTTTATTTCTTTGAGATCCAATCCTATCCTGTTTTTAAATTACGTCATTTTTTAGAAAATGTTGTTTTACATGTTGTAATTTTTCCATATCGATTGTCCTCCACCCTCACATTTCCATTTTGATCGATCAGTTTTAAAATCAATAGGGCTCTGTTTGTGATTACCCTGATCTACGCTAACTTTGCTTTTTTCTATCCTGCTGTCAAGCTTGTAGAATGTTTAAAAACGCAGACGGACAAATAAACAATACACTATTAAATGTATGCAAAGAGTGTGATATTCTGAGCATTTTTGAGGGCAGATTAGGAATATTCCAGTTGCAGCTTCGTATTTTTAACGTGGTTTTTTAAGCCATAGAGAGTTACAAAGCTAGTTTTAGAAGTTACGAATTCACCTCTATGTTTTAAGGGTAGATTGGTCTCCAAGGAATCGTTGTCTAAACTTATTTTTAGCCTGTTACGAAGACAATTCTGGGATTTATGAATTTATCTCTATCTTTTAAATGTACAGACGTTTCCTTTGAATCCGTAAAGTCTGATGAGAGCTGTTTTTAGTGATGAATTTACCCCTATCTGTTAAGGATAAAGTCATTTTCTTAGTTTCTGAGTTTGTAAAAGGTCTCATTGTAAAAGTCCTCATTTTTTGAATTTTTTATGTCTAATCTATTACAAAAGAAAACGTAGAAACTGTACGTTTACACTATCCTTTAAGGATAGCTTTTAGCATGATTTTTTTTAATTCTCTTCATCCTGTTTTAATAGTTTACATAAAAGTAAAATGGTGAGGATGAATTACGAGGCCCCTTTTGGGCCGAGTACTTTAACTTCTGAGTCAAGTAATGTCATTTTACTGACGAGTTTTGTAATAAATTTTACCCGAAATCGTATTTTAATATAAAATTTCAATTTTTGTATAGAACTTTTGATTCATGGTAACCTGTCTGGTAAAGTGACAGGCTACAGGAAACGTACCTAGTCTGGTCTGTCTCTGACATAAGCTAGGCATAAAAATGAAGAGTGCGTGACGATTTTAGGTAAAGATAATTGTAAAAGATACATTAGGGATCCTTTGACAGTTTTTTCTGCTAAAATCACATACTAGTTACTGTGGTGCACCCTCTGCTGGCTTAAAGGATTCAGTGTTGCAAGTGCAAGTTACTCATTTTTTCCGGGATAAAATTAAGTTTTCTTTAACTTTTAAAAGACGATATAAAATTTGAATTTCATAACTTTTCAGAGTAGGTACTATACGTTTTAATATTTAAATCGTCCATCTATAGAAACGAGCTTTGAATATAAGGGTTTATATCCAATTTGCTTCTTTCCACAAAGCAAATGTACAACGTACATGTCATGTATTGACAATGGTAATCGTCAGTGCACTGTAAGTTGTTCAATAAATGCAAAGTGGCCAAGGTGCCCTTTATACGCGAATGTTCAACAAATTTATTACGTAAAGGCATAAAGAATCGATTTTTTAACTTCCAACGCGAATTTTAGCCGTCTTCTGTAGCTGTATAATGAGAGAGGAGATGAAAGAATAAGAGCACGGTAAAACGTTGTGGTGCTCAAAACATTGCAAGTGGGCTATGCTGTCGAGTAGCAACAGTTGCCCTAAATTTTACGTAAAATCAATTTGACTTTTCGTACTTTCATCAGTTTGATCGCTCACCATTACTAGCTAAATTATCAGTGTCTAATAAAATTAACTATCACGCAATGACAGAGGGGGGTCGGCCATTTGTTGGAGAGGGCAGATGCATGAGTATTGAGTCGATGAAGGAGCTGAACGCCCTTCGCGAGAAAAGCGAACTGTGCGACGCGACAATTCACTTGGACGACGGAAGCAAGATTCCCGTTCATCGAGCCCTATTGTGCGCTTGTAGCAATTACTTTAAGTACGTAGCCCCGCACGAGTGAACTCCCCCAACGAGTTTCTTTTTTAGAGCGCTTTTCACAACGCCGTTGCGCACTGCGAATCGAAATGCTGTGGTGTTGCCTGGAGTTCCGGCCGAAATTATGAACTCGCTTCTCTCTTACATTTACATGCGTAAGCTAGAGCTTACCGAGAAGAATGTCTATGAGCTCCTAATACTCTGCGATTACCTCAGCATTTTGGGAGCTTTAGAAATTTGTTGCCACTTTCTCGAGACGCAACTAAAACCGAATAACTGTTTGGGAATTATGAGTTTTGCAAAAGCCTACTCTTGTAGCGGGCTTGCTGGCATCGCATGGAAGTACATCATGCGCCATTTTACTGTTATAGCTCAACAGAGCGAGGAGCTTTTATTTTTAAGTTTGGAAGGATTAAAAGAAATTATTAATGCGGACGATTTAAATGTGAAAAGCGAGGAGACAGTGTGGGAGACCATCCTGAGGTGGATTGAGTTTGATCCCGACAAAAGAAAGGAACATATTGTGACCCTTATGAAAGGGATCCGACTAGGTTTGTTGGATACGCAATTTTTTTTGGAGCACGTGAAAGACCATCCGTATGTCACCAACTGCGAGGCGAGTAGGCCTATGATTATCGAAACGTTGAGGTTTTTGTATGACTTGGAGATGATAACCAACCGCGATAGTGAGGTAACGACCCCTGAGATCGCCAGGCCGAGAGTGCCGCACGAAATTCTGTTCGCGATCGGTGGTTGGAGTGGAGGTTCCCCCACCGCGTACATGGAGACTTACGACACCAGGGCCGATCGTTGGGTTAAGATCGAGGAAATTGATCCGATGGGCCCACGCGCCTACCACGGGACGGCCGTGGTTGGGTTTAAAATATACGTGATCGGGGGATTTGATGGGATGGATTACTTTAACTCGTGTAGGTGTTTTGATGCGGTTGCCAAAACTTGGAAGGAGGTCGCTCCGATGAACGCACGCCGTTGTTACGTCAGCACTGCCGTTCATAATGACGTCGTGTACGCCATGGGCGGTTACGACGGTCACCATCGGCAAAATACCGCCGAAAAGTACGATTATAAAACCAACCAATGGTCTTTAATCGCACCGATGAACATGCAGAGATCTGACGCGAGCGCCTGCACTCTAAACGGTGAGTTAGCACACAGTGGGCCTTGCTTACTTCGTGGTTTTAGGCAAAATTTATATTACTGGCGGATTTAATGGGCAGGAGTGTATGAATTCCGCTGAAGTGTACGATCCAGAAGTCAACCAGTGGACTATGATTAATCCAATGCGCTCCCGCAGATCTGGCGTTTCGTGTATCGCGTACAGGGGGCAGGTTTACGTAATTGGGGGGTTCAACGGAATTTCCCGCATGTGTAGTGGGGAAAAATACAATCCTTTGAATAACACCTGGATTTCCATTCCGGATATGTACAATCCTCGTAGTAATTTTGCCATGGAAGTTATCGACGACATGATTTTTGTCATTGGCGGTTTTAATGGTGTTACGACAATCTTCCACGTGGAGTGCTACGATGATAGAGCAAACGAATGGTACGAGGCCACCGATATGAACATCTATAGATCGGCGTTATCGGCTTGTGTGATTAACAACCTTCCAAACGTACAAGATTACATCCATCAGCACAGGGAGAGGCTGATGGAGGAAAAAAGGCAAAGACTGATTGCAGCTCAAGAGGCTCAGAGGCAAACTTGGGCGGCTGCACACACCGCCAACGATGCTCAGCCAATACAATTGGCGCGTGCTCAAAATCAACAACAATTAAATGTACTGCAACAATTAAACGCAAACTTACACAATCAAGATCGAGCACTAGCGGCTGTCCCAGAACCTCCCCCGTTGGGAATGGACATGGACATAGATGAAAATCACATACCGCCAATCTAGCAGTGAGATTAAGGGACGGATTTACCTAAAATGTAGGTAGTTTTAGTTTTTATATAATTATACAGTATTAAGGAAGCGGTAGAGAGAAAATGATCAACTTTTAGTAGATCGAGTAGTTACATTATACAAATATCCGATTAAATCCCATCTTTAATAGAACGTTTTAATAGTGCTATGAAGTAAATTCACTTCGTCAACTAAAATACACTGCCTCGTTTTTAATTAACTAAAGGTTTCGTTAATATTCAAGTACATAATGGTTGATGCTGTAATTACTTGCTTGGTGAAACTCCATTTATAGAGTTACAAGTATAGCGGTAGTCTTATAACTATGAATACAACAGTATATTAACAAAAGCACAATGCGCAACTTTAATATTCAATATTCACGAATTTGGAATTTCGCACCTTATTTTCCTTTTGATTTATCGGGAAAACATGGGGTGTGAACGCGTGAAATTAACTATTGTAACGTGATTTATAAATTCGGGTTCGATTTATATCAATATTTATTAAACAAAACTAAAACACTGTAAAAACGGGACAATTTATATCGACTATTTATATTACACACTTCGCAATTTATATCAGATTTTCGCGCTCAATGTTTCATCCGTACTCGATCTCGTTCGGTAGTAAACTGCCTGCGATGTTCGGTCCGCAACCATTTATACACGCAAGCAATGTAAGTCCAGAACACTCGCGTAATTACCAGATACGTCGCGAACATTCCCACTATCGCGCGCGTAGAAAATTCCAGAGCGCCAAAGGCGACGTCATGTCTGGAGCGTTTCCGTTACACTATGTAACGAAAAGAAGTTCTAAGTGGTTTTGCCTTAAAATTTTTACTATATTTTCTCATTGGGTTGAATTCACCACGTTGCAAAGTTTTCCCCGTGTAGGGTCGGGAAAGAATAACCCTACCGCAGAGGCCACTGCGTGTCGTAAGAGGCGACTAAACAACCGCAATTTTTTTCTACAACAATCCAAATAATAAGTGTTTCATAAAAGTAATAACCAAAATTTATTGGTTGTTTTTAACACCTTTGATATTTATAACGAGCTAATTACATTTACAAGGGTTGAAGGCCTCTCTTGCATAAAATAAAATGAATCTCTACGGCACTGGCAAAGATGCCAATGTAACAGTCAAGCTCAGTAATAAAAATGTTTTTATACTCCTTACCTTGCGGAAGCTTGGCCCCTTTTTTTTTCCTTCTAAGATCTGAAATTCTGAAAGTCTAATGTTATGGTTCTAAGGAACTCTAATAAATACGCATATGACTTTAGTTGATTGGATATATTAATAAACACAAACGCGATCGAGTTGCATTTTTCTCTACACGTTCCTGTATACGAAATATTGGTTTGACTCATAAAAGGGAATATAAAAAAAAATTTTGTGATCATGTGGTCCTGATGAATTTCATCCTTATCTAAATGATAAATTCCTGGTACATTCTCCTGTTCAAAATATACACACCTTAACTAAACGGCAATTTAATCCAACCAAAGACATGTACATTTGAAATTCCCTGAATCAAAATAATCAAAATCCTTTGCTTGAATCGAATGAAATATTCTTATACAAGTGGTTCGCATAGGTCACAGTTACTTTAAGCAAACTCAATATGCCAAATTCCTGAAAAATAACTAACCACTAATTTATACAATACAAAAAATTCACAACTGATTCCATTTAACAGTATACAAATAGACCCCTGCAATGCTACATACAGACTTTTGATATCACCCTGTAACTTAATTAACGTTGTGGTGAAAGAAAAAGAAAAATCTCAGTTTATAACAAAGAGTTTTTGTTTATTCGGGCCATTTAATTCGCTTTCTACTTAAAGTGCGCGTCTCCAATCTCACGTAAAGTTATTCAGAAAGCGTTTCACGATAACGCGTGAAAAATAAGCAGCAACTTTTTTGGTTAGCAATTTTCACTTATAATTGCACAAGAATTTTACCGAGTAAAATTGGTTGCCTAGCAATTAGACGAGAAAAACTGTAACTAATAAAAATGCGACACCGCGCATTTTTAGGTTGACAGTTTTTCGAGTCCAATTGCTAAAAGGAAACAGATTTGAATTGCCACAACCCAAATTTACGGTTTAAATACAAACCTCGAGTGTAATTCGGCAGGACAATTTAACGAACAAGAAATTTAATCAATTATTGACAGACGTCAAACTAGTCATATGGGTAAGGATAATGCGATTATTGGTTCGAAAATGAATAAGTGAAAAAACCACTAGTGCATTTGTCGCTGGAAAAGTTGCAGGTAACTTTTGCCGCTGTCAAAGTGACAATTACACTGCGGCTTATGTGATTTTTTATACATGAGTTGAATTGTCACTCAAAATAAAAACCGGGAAAACTTTTCTGCGGCTTGCTGAAATTATGTCTGACAACAATTTAGCACAACTGAGATAGTAAGTAACGGCTTGTGAAATTAACTCGTCTGTCTGGCGGCCCTTACATTTTAACCATTAAATTTTCGCCATTGCTCGGAATAACCACCTTTTTCGCACTCAAGGGGTATGTGCCTTACTCTTCTATAGATCCGTCTCGTCTTTTTTTAAATCCCCTCATACACGCTCTCTTTCTCGCTACACGCGTTGTTATCGCTTGTATTTCCAGACGGTATTTTGTTTCTGCTCGCTATACAGCGGTACATTTCCCAAAATGTGAATTCGAAAAATTACTTCTACGGCTAAAGCGACCACCCGTACAATAGGTATATAGACTGTAACAATTAGGTGTGTCAAAAATACCTAAACTAAATAGAACAAAATGTTTCAGCTGGGTTACGTTTCGAAAGGTCTCAAAATTACGTTCCTCTTTTAATTCGAACAGCGGCAGTTTTCAATTATGGTGTGGGTGACTAAAGATAAGACGGTTGCGCCGACGCCGACTCTACATGTTATCGCTTCACCGAACAATTTTCCGCGCAGTTGTTGGTGACAATTCAAAGCGGCGCGATGTATGCAGTATGGTCCAAGTGGTAAATGGGGTGGATGGTAATGGTTCTTCCTTTGGAGATAGGGTGAGCATTCATTTTTGTTTAATTAGGTTGCATGAAATAGGTCACTGAACGTCAACAAATCTCTGGTAATGTTGAACGGCAAATTAAATTGCGTATAAAATACGAATACGTATTTAAATACATGTTTTTTAACACGCGTTCCGGATCCTTAATACCCTGATCATTTTTAAATATTAGAATCTGGATTACTAATAATGACGTAAAACCACAACATGTAATTGTTGATTATACGTGCATCCATTACAGAAGGCGTTAGTCATCAACAGATCCGCCGTTGAAGTAAACCATCCAAAATATTCATAGTTTTTACTACGAAATAGTCTGTAAAACAACAATTAAATTAAACGTAGATAATCCATTTATTAAAAAAATACTTGACAAAGCTTTAACAAATATGCAGCGTTACAATCCGCATTAGGCCTGGCCGCCCAGGGTTGCTCGGGCTCCAGGGTATTTGATGTATATATGCGGGGCTTTCGAATGAACAATTCACTAGTTCTTTCAAGGGTAGTAAAAAAAACAACGTCCTTCCAATTCACTCCTCTTCTCCAAATCTTTTGCGCAATTCAATCGGTATTTTTTCCCATTCCTTTCGCCTTTCCGAGTGCTGCCTTTCCTTGATGCGTCCTTCGTACTACTTTTGTTCCATTTTATAATACTGCCGAGGTATTTTACTGATTTTACTTGCTCTAGCTATCTGTACTCCTTCTAACTGTATCTTTACTTCTTCATCTTCTTTACTCATCAGCATTACTTTTGTTTTCTCGATGTTTACCTTCGTTTCAAACTCCCTTCCCAATTAATATTATTTTCTCCATCGTTATTTGTAGTTCCTTTTCTCTGTTTATGCAAGTACTACCGTGTCATCTGCCTATTTTATTGTCTTTATGTTGTTAATACCTATCCTTAATCCTATAATAACCGCGTTTTCTAATAATTTTTCTGCATAGATGTTGAAAAGCACCGGTGGCATAGGACACCCCTGCCTCACTCCTCTTTCTATATTCACTTTTTCAGGTTCAGTTGCTTCCCCATTCACTCTGACCACCACCTTCTGGTTTTTATACAGCTCTCCCAAGAGTCTCTCCAGTCTATACCAATGTTCCTCAGTATTTCCAACAATACCCACAGACAACACAATAACAGTTCCATTGACGTCCATCATTCTTTCTTTTTTCATTCTTAGACATCTAATAAGGTGTGTCTTGTCCATCGTCCCTTTTCAAATCCAAATTGCTCATCTCCCTTATATTATTTTCTCTATCGTACTTTGCATTCTTTTTAACAATATTCTTGCTAAAACCTTACTTACAAGGCTTATGCAGCTTATGGTCTAGTAATCCTTACAGTCTCTCGCTTAATTTTTCTTTGGTAATATAATGAATATAGTTTTCTTCAGATCATCTGGCCAAATATACCACACCTTATAATCTCAGGTCGTTTATTGTTCTCCTTACACTCCGACTCATTCCTCATCCTTAAATCGTCTTGCTGCACCCTATTCGACTCATGTACCTATAAGTAGTTCTCCAATTTATGTCGTTTTACCCCCGCTTCTCCCCCGGCGGTCCAGTATGCTGCATCAACCTGCGTTTTAATTGAGTACGTTGTCGCCATCTACTTATGACACTTTTCACCATTAGATAAAGCAATAGTTCAAATGCAGTACAATAGTTCAAATTTCAATAATAGTTCCTATATCTTCTCGTAGTAGCTACAATGATTCAAATAATATAACCTCACTTCCCAAGATTTATTAATTATATAACCTTGTTCGACATAAATTTATCTATCTAGTATCTATACTAAATAACTAGATTAGTAAGGGCTACATTAACTATACTATAATACTAAGATATTTGATGTTTTGATAGGAAGGTCTTTTGAAGATCCTTGAGCGAATCCCAAAATACGAGGGTCAGCGCTCCGTGAGGCCCTAATCTCATGTAGTGCGCCGTCATCCCCTTATAAAATCCGAAGACACCCTCCGTTTTCCATATCTTTCGGAAACAGTCTGGTATATTTTAGTACAGTAGACCTGTACCGATCTCGGCGACGGCTAAAATTTAATGTAAAAAAAGGTATTGCGAAAAAATTACTCTTACGCTGATTGTATAGGCGTGTGGACACTAAATCGAATATAGTTTTCTTCAAATCATCTGGCCAAATATACCTACTCTGTATTATAACGGGCGATCAAAAATGAGTTGCTGTCGAGTCGCCTTTGGAAGTTCAAGTTGAATACAATTTCCCATTTAAACAAAAATTGCAAAGGCGACTCGACAGCATTTCATTTTTGATCGCATAGTGTTTACCAGCTCGGTAAGTCTGGCGGTAGAACATTGGGACAATGCCTTCACTCCCTGTGCAGGAATACCATCGCAGCCAATCGCTTTCTTATCCTTGAGATCATTAATTGCTATTTCTACCTCACACCTTATAATCTTAGGCCGTTTATTGTTCTCCTTACACTCCGACTCATTCCTCATCCTTAAATCGTCTTGCTGCACCCTATTCGACTCATGTACCTATAAGTAGTTCTCCAATTTATGTCGTTTTACCCCCGCTTCTCCCCCGGCGGTCCAATATGCAGCATCAACCTGTGTTTTAATAGAGTACGTTGTCGCCATCTACTCATTACACTTTCACCATTAGATAAAGCAGTAGTTCAAATGCAGTGTAATAGTTCTAATGCAGTGCAATAGTTCAAATTTTAATAATAGTTCCTATATCTTCTCATAGTAGCTACAATGATTCAAATAATATAACCTCACTTCCCAAGATTTATGAATTATTTAATCTTGTTCAACATAAATTTATCTATCTAGTATCTATACACTAATAAATAAATAGATTAGTAAAGGCTACATTAACTATACTATAATACTAAGATATTTGATGTTTTGATTGGAAGGTCTTTTGAAGATCCTTGAGCGAATCCCAAAATACGAGGGTCAGCCCTCCGTGAGGCCCTAATCTAATGTAGTGCGCCGTCATCCCCTTATAAAATCCGAAGACACCCTCCGTTTTCCATATATCTTTCGGAAACAGTCTGGTATATTTTTGTACAGTAGACCTGTACCGATCTCGTCAACGGCTAAAATTTAATGTAAAAAAAGGTATTGCGAAAAAATTACTCTTACGCTGATTGTATAGGCGTGTGGACACTAAATCGAATATAGTTTTCTTCAAATCATCTAGCCAAATATACCTACTCTGTATTATAACGGGCGATCAGAAATGAGTTGCTGCCGAGTTCCCTTTGGAAGTTGTTAAATGCGATTTCCCATGTACACAAAAATTTCAAAGGCGACTCGACAGCAACTCATGTTTGATCGCATAGTGTTTACCAGCTCGGTAAGTCTGGCGGGTAGAACATTGGGATACCTAATCCCTTCAGTCCCTGTGCAGGAATACCATCACAGCCAATCGCTTTCTTATCCTTGAGATCATTAATTGCTCTTTCTACTTAAACACCTTATAATCTCAGGCCGTTTATTGTTCTCCTTACACTCCGACTCATTCCTTATCCTTAAATCGTCTTGCTGCACCCTATTCGACTCGTGTATAAGTAGTTCTCCAATTTATCTCGTTTTACCCCCGCTTCTCCCCCGACGGTCCAGTATGCTGCATCAACCTGCGTTTTAATGGAGTACATTGTCGCCATCTACCCATTACACTTTTCACCATTAGATAAAGCAATAGTTCAAATGCAGTGCAATAGTTCAAATTTCAATAATAGTTCCTATATCTTCTCATAGTAGCTACAATGATTCAAATAATATAACCTCACTTCCCAAGATTTATTAGTTGTATAATCTTGTTCAACATAAATTTATCTATCTAGTATCTATCACTCATAAATAAATAGATTAGTAAGGGCTGCATTAACTATACTATAATACTAAGATATTTGATGTTTTGATTGGAAGGTCTTTTGAAGATCCTTGAGCGAATCCCAAAATACGAGGGTCAGCCCTCCGTGAGGCCCTAATCTCATGTAGTGCGCCGTCAGCCCCTTATAAAATCCGAAGACACCCTCCGTTTTCCATATCTTTCGGAAACAGTCTGGTATATTTTTGTACAGTAGACCTGTACCGATCTCGTCGACGGCTAAAATTTAATGTAAAAAAAGGTAATGCGAAAAAATTACTCTTACGCTGATTGTATAGGCGTGTGGTCACTAAATCGAATATAGTTTTCTTCAAATCATCTGGCCAAATATACCTCCTCTGTATTATAATGGGCGATCAAAAATGAGTTGCTGTCGAGTCGCCTTTGGAAGTTCAAGTTAAATACGATTTCCCATGTAAACAAAAATTTCAAAGGCGACTCGACAGCAACTCATTTTTGATCGCATAGTATTTACAAGCTCGGTAAGTCTGGCGGTAGAACATTGGGATAATGCCTTCAGTCCCTGTGCAGGAATACCATCACAGCCAATCGCTTTCTTATCCTTGAGATCATTAATTGCTCTTTCTACTTCACACCTTATAATCTCAGGCCATTTATTGTTCTCCTTACACTCCGACTCATTCCTCATCCTTAAATCGTCTTGCTGCACCCTATTCGACTCAGGTATAAGTAGTTCTCCAATTTATCTCGTTTTACCCCCGCTTCTCACCCGGCAGTCCACTATGCTCCATCAACCTGCGATTTAATCTCATGGAGTACGTTGTCGCCATCTACTCATTACACTTTTCACCATTAGATAAAGCAATAGTTCAAATGCAGTGCAATAGTTCAGTTCAAATGCAGTACAATAGTTCAAATGCAGTGCAATAGTTCAAATTTCAATAATAGTTCCTATATCTTCTCATAGTAGCTACAATGATTCAAATATTATAACCTCAATTCCCAAGATTTATTAATTATATAATCTTGTTCAACATACATTTATCTATCTAATAACTATACACTAATAAATAAATTAGATTAGTAAGGGCTACATTAACTGTACTATAATACTAAGATATTTGATGTTTTGATTGGAAGGTCTTTTGAAGATCCTTGAGCGAATCCCAAAATACGAGGGTCAGCGCTCCGTGAGGCCCTAATCTCATATAGTGCGCCGTCAGCCCCTTATAAAATCCGAAGACACCCTCCGTTTTCCATATCTTTCGGAAACAGTCTGGTATATTTTTGTACAGTAGACCTGTACCGATTTCGTCGACGGCTAAAATTTAATATAGAGAAAGGTATTGGGAAAAAATTACTCTTACGCTGATTGTATAGGCGTGTGGAAACTAAATCGAATGGTTGCATTGCGAGCGCTTGAAACACCCCTCCTACAATACTGGCAGAAAATGTCCGTAATGTGGGAGAATTATCGAAGATGTGGTAATCGTTTAATAAATCCTTGGTCATAGCGAACGATGTTAATTGTGCCGATGATCCTGCTACCGCTCTTAGCATGGTCGCACCTGCTCCTCTCCACAGTCCACGAATCTGTAAGTGCGTAAGTTACGAAAGGATAGCGTAGTTGAAGTACTTCACCCCATGTTCCGTGTATATTTCTTTAATTGCAGACAGAGTCCCTGTACGGCCATGCTGATAACCAACGGCGACCGATTTTGTGCTTTGAGATTGCATTTGTGTTTTAATGAGAAATAGGGGGCTACCAAAAAAAGCACCGGCGGCACCTGTAAGCGCACTCACGCAAAATCCTTTGTAAAACACCGTCTTCCCGTGCTCGTCAGTTACATATCCCCTCTTGTGCGCCCACTGGTAGCCTCCCAGTCGCACGCAATTTCGAATACCGTGCATCACAACAGCGGCCGGTAAACCTTTTTGCAATCCTAAAATTCCATCGTTTTTCACTACGACAATTGCTGCATGGAAAACGTTGCGATAGTGCACCGCGTGTTGTCCTCGCGCACGCAGCTCTCCCTGCAGTTGCATACGTGTCTTTAGGACATCTAAGGGATTTGTGAAAAATCCCGCACCTGAGGCCGCCAACGCGCCTATTACAAAGTCCATTTCAAATTTCCCGCCAAAATAGTCACGTGTGGAGCGCCGCGTGAATCTGAAATTCAAATTTGAATGCACAGTAATAAGGTATTGTTGTGTGTAATTACCCATACAGATTAATAGAGAAATTGAAAGGACACGTGCGCTCTACTAAATTTTCCTTGCATCATTTAGACCTGTGAAGAAATCTATCTACATGATGTAATCTTTAATGTAAAGCTTGTGGTATGATCTGTGATTAATTTATTGTAGTATTTTAATGTGAGATAGTAGCGATAAGGTCGTTTATTGTTACGTAATGCGATTTAGCGCGTGATAGTTGAAGCATGTTACAAAAAACGGTTTTTTTACCCCCATGAAATGTACCTAAACTAAAATTAAAAACATCTAATACTATGTTTCCCTAATTACATTTTTGCTTCTGTCGAGTGTCGAGGACCTATTTCTGCTTCTGTCAAAGCGGTTTTCGTGTACTACGCATACTTCGCGCAAGTTATCCTAAAACTGTACAGGCTGTCCCAAATTCAATTGTGCCATTGCCTGTGATCTCGGAAACCGTAAGGGATACGAGGTCCATTCAGGGGAGGAAATGTTGCGCTAGTTAGGGCCGAATCTAACGCTGCTTTGAAAGCGATAAGTATTCCAAAATTCGCTCATTTTAATTGATCTTTTTTGAATACATTTTTTCAAACAAATTATTAGAATTTTTTCTTACTTTTTGTTACTCTAATGGCAATACAAGGGAGGTAAATGTAAATGGTAAGAGTCCTGGAAACACCCTAAGCGCTTTCTTACGAAACAAGAGTCCGTAGCATGGGATCATAAAAGGTTCTGCACCGCCACCCAGAAAGACAAAGACGTAGTTTTTATGGGAAAACTATGGTCACAATTTTGTAGGATATCTAGGAACACTCACATAACAATTATTCTTAGGTATAGCGGTTTTAGAAAACGTTGGAATACGTGTGTGTTAAGCCCGCTTGACATGGAGCAATAAAAATTGCAATTGCATGCAAGTTGCAAGAAAAATTGCGAAAGGCATGCGCAGTTCAAAGCCAGCTGATCAATTGCTGCAAGAGACTTGCATGCAATTTTTATAGGACCGGTGCTATTTTTCTTGCATGAATCGTGCAATTCTAGGGATAAATCTAGTTGTTTTTGTGGCACCAACCTAGTAAAATACAGCGGCGGCAACTGTGATGCTGAGAGACGCACTCATTACTTGTTTTTACTAATCTTATTTATTCTTGTAATTTTCATGTTTCTTCAAGCAATCAAAATTTAATTTTCATTTGAGGTTAACTACTTTGTTGACAAATCCATATGTTTCTTCTGTTGGCAGACATGTGGCAATTGAAATAGAATTGCACCATGTCAAATACCATGCAATGCTATTGCATGCAAGGATTTGACCTTGCAATTTCTTTCTGCAAGTTCTTGCGCGTTGTATTGCTCCATGTCAAGCGGCCTTTAGTTAGTAAGAGAGTACACAATTAAAGTGTACTTATTGTAGCGTTAGGTATAGTCTTATTAATATAAATGTTAGTCGAATTAGAGTTGTGTTTTAATCATTATTTATTAGCCCACTGGTCCTGAGAAAGAGGGATATCCGCTCATGCAGAGCTAGTACTCCGGTGCATTACGGTAGGTACTTGACCACCCAAATAATTAGAGTCGGTTAAAAAAGCGACACACCAATTCAGGGTGTTGCATGGTTTTACGATGTGAGTATCTAGGTACAAATTTATTGCAAACATTATATAATACTGAATAAAACTCAGCACATGCTTCATCGACATCATCATGATGTCGCAAAAATGACCAATCGATTTCAGACAAAGATTTGTACAATCCTAAAAAATCACATCTTTTGAAATTATACGATTTTTTGATGTGAGAGATTGGAAATTGCTGTTTAGGCATGTTGAGTCGTAGAGACAACGTTAATGCTGGGTGATCTTCATGTAAAAACGGAGACATGTCGTGAGATACTTCACAACTCAAATTACTTATTACTAAATCAAGAAGTCGTTGGTTATGATTCCTGACTGAATTAAATTGTTTCAAGTTAATCATATCCAGAAAATCAACCAGAATTTCTTTTTTGGAGTCAACAACTTCAGGACACACAAAACTCAGTACATTAAAATCACCAAGTATTAACAAATATTCATAATTTAGGCAGATACGTTGAAATGCTTCAAAGAACATTTCGAAATTATATACACTAATAGATGGTGGAATATAGATCTGAAGTACGAAAATTAATTAATGACAACAAATATGGAGACTCTATTTGTAGTCCAGGGAATAGAGGGTTTTAACTTGCAAAATGAGAAGTAGTTCCAATTTCTTTTGCATGTCATAGACAGTCTTCTGGTGGTTAAGAATCTAAGTTTTCGATCTCCCACTCCTTGTGCTTCCCCCGTACCACCCCCAAAACCCCTGAAATTTGGTTGGTTTCTTAGTTTTTCAATCATGTCTTTTTAATGGTTCACTTTAGACAAAAATATTGTCATCAGAAATTGTAGACCATAAAATTCTACAGAACTTTGATATACAGTACTTTTTTGTAAAATGTTTATTAAAAAAGATATAGAGCTTGAGGGTTGGTTATATTTTGAAGAATTCTTAAATTTCTGTGTAGATGTTTTAACCAAATTTAAGAGTTTTATGAGAAAATATCTTGAACTTATCGTGGTCTAAACTCCCCTACCCTGCACCCTTACCAAAGGGGATGCATAATATTTCAAGAATTTTAATCATGAAGCTGAACTGAAGTGAGATAATTTTTTGTTTCAAACGTATATTAGAAAGCCCTACAATCTCACAGTGATTCAAATATCCCCACTAGCAAGGGTTGAAAGTTGAATTATTATGCATCCCCTTTGGTAAGGGTGCAGCGTAGGAGGATTTATACCACGATAAGTTCAAGATATTTTCTCATAAAACTCTTATAGAGATAAAGTATAAAATTTGGTTAAAACATCTACATAGAAATTTCAGAATTCTTAAAAATATAAGCAACTCTGAAGCTCTATACCGTTTTTAATAAACATTTCACAAAAAAGTAGTGTATATCAAAGTTATGTAGAATTTTATAATCTACAATTTCTGATAACAATATTTTTTTGAAAAATGAATCTATAAAGAGATATGACTGAAAAACTAAAAAACCACCAAATTTCTTTGGTTTTAAGTGTGTTGCGGGGGAAGCACAAGGGGTGGGAGGTCGAAAACTTGGATTCTTAACCACCAGATATTCTTTCATGACATGCAAACAAAATTGGAACTACTTCTCGTTTTGCAGGAAATGGTCCATTTTCAGTCTCTATTTCCTGGACTATTGCCCATTAACCAATTTATAAAGAAATATTATTGCCGAATTTCGTCGACGAAATTCTAAATCACAATAGTTGTATGAACTTAAAAGATCAACGTAGTAATGAAAGCGAGGATATACTGACGTGATTCTGTAGTGTAAGCAGCGAATAAATTTATTTTGTATTCGTTCTATAGCATGACTATATTTCTGTGTATGCGGTGACCAGATGATAGATGCGTACTCCATCTTAGATCGACACAGGGAATTGTACAGAATTTTATAGGAATTTAACGATTTAAAATTTGATGTGGATCTAAGAATGAAGCCCAAGGTACCGTGTGCCTTTTTGATAAGATCGTTTATATGCACACTAAAGTTTAACCTGTTATCGAAAATCACTCCCAGGTCTTTTTGACAACTGACATTCTCCGGACGCTCCCCATGCAACTTATAAGAAAAATTATAGTCCGTCTTTTTCCTTGAGAACTTTATGAATTTACACTTCGTCATGTTTAAGGACAAATCATTAATTTTTACCCAATTTGCTACTGCATTTAAATGTGATTGTAACTGTAGACAGTCGCCTACATTAGTAATTTTACGACTGATCTTAACGTCATCTGCGAATACCAAGGGAGTACTAGAATCCGCAACATCTGGTAAGTCGTTAACGAACAAGAGACACAGGAGAGGACCCAAATTCGACCCTTGAGGCACTCCTGACAAAACTGAAAAAGGAATGGATTGCGCCGACCCCCATTTAACATATTGTTTACGACTTGAGAAGTAAGACGCCATAATTCTAAGCAAGTCAAGTGAGAAACCGAACCCTGCCATTTTAGAAAGCAAGATATCGTGATTAACACTATCAAAAGCTTTGGACACATCCGTAAATATTGTGTCATATTGACATCCATTCTCCAACGCTTCTGATATGCTTTGATTAAATTCAATTAAGTTTGTTATGGTTGATTTATTTTTTACAAACCTATGTTGTGCACATGAAATATACTGCTTAACATGGCCATATATTCTTTTGTATAAAATTTTTTCAAAAATTTTTGCAGGAGTGGAAACCATGGCGATCGGTCGGTAGTTTCGAATCTCATTTTTAGAACCCGATTTGTAAATAGGGCAAATTTTGGTGGTTTTCCAAATTTCAGGAAACGTCTTTGTTTTTAAGAACGCATTAAACATTAAGTGTAAAGCTGGCGAAAGAATATCTTTACATCCTCTAAATATGTATGGAGGTATACCATCAGGACAGGAATTATACATAGTATGCTGAGAAAATTGCGGAGATAAGAACATTGAAATTTTTATATTATTATGTTACATGAACATGTTTTCCAATGTTCTTGTCTCCGCAATTTTCTCAGAATACTATGTACAATTGTATAATTTAAACGGTAACTAGACTTTTGTTTTTATACACGTTTTTCATGTAAAATCTTTCAGCTCGGCCTGAAGATGACTTTATCGTCGAAATCGATAGCCGTTAGAAAATAAACAATTTTTGAGTCTCAATTAATTTTCATCATATATTAATAATCACTCAAACATAAAATGGAGTCCTTCATCAACAAAATTCTGCCTCGATTTTTGCATTTTCTTTACTTATCAACTTCCAGAGATCTTTTCCTGTGGGAATCCTCATATATTTATCTTTTTGTTCCTTTTTCTATCCTTATTCCCTTTCGTACAATTCTTCTCTTTTTTCTCCCGTCTCGTACTTTTACTTGTGTCCACGACATCTCATACTGTCCATCTTATTTCACTCCTCTGTGTTCTTTCCAGTCGTCCAGTCTTCTTCTGCCCGATACGCTTCGTACGGCATAGACTGATTGCTAGGAACGTGTGAAAATGAAAAAGACTCCCTTTTCCCTCTTCTGTTGTCCTCTTCATTCTCCTTGTAAATATTCATTGAGAATGGTTATAATTAGCGTGGTATTATGAACGGATAATTGAATTTCTCTCATATAAACAAGGAAACTTACGTCTTCGGTACAAGTTATATGATGAGCATTGCGTGTTGTTCTTCCGAGACTCTCTTATAACCGGTGATTGGATGATAGGTTTTCCAACTTCCATTGGTTGGTTACCTACTCTACATTCAAATGCAGTAAACGATTTATAATTGAAAGATTTGATTATTTAGAAAAAAATTTACCCATTGTGTCGTAAACTTTGGTTTATAATCTAAGAATGTATTTGAAATCATGCGGCTTGCCCCGCCATTTCACATCAATTTAACTTTAAGCCTCGAGGGTGCAATAAAAATGGATTTATGAAGGCGTCGAGTCAGTTTCCTTAAAAAAATAACGTCACTGATAACAATACATCCGAGATACAATGAGCGCAATATTTAAACCTTTGCGAAGCTCGAAAAGGTAGAAAATATAATGAAGCAGGCTCCGCGCTGAAATTGAAATCCATAGGGCGGTAATTAACAGCATTTGCAAAAACGGCATTGACGTTCATTCTGCAGCTTTTTAATCGGTCTTTCGTCACGCACCCATTGTGCTCACTTTTTGTTTCAATTCCTTTTTGGCCGCAGGAAAGTTTCATCGTCATCGTCTCCCTTTTAATTAAAAGTTTTCTCTAGTAATTTTTCAGTCATTCATGCTCGTTTTGTACAAAGAAGTGCGTTTCGTTTATAAGCTTTGATGAGAGTTTTAACTTTTCGTTTAAAAATACAAATG